AAGTGTTTCAGGGGAGAGAAAAGCTGGATTTCAACAAAACAGAATCTTCATTTGGAATGAAAGGCGGCAAAAGTTAATAACAGAGAAGTTTGAAGCCAAATGGAAACACGAGACTATTATTTAAAAAAAATGATTGCAGATTTCATATAAAGGATTTTGGGAGGGAAAACCATGATCTTGCCGCAAAAAGTGAATTCATGTCAATGTAATGAGAACGTAACTAATTCAGATTCTTTGGTGGGGGATCATAATAGGGATGAATCATCAAATGCGAGTGTGTCAGTTGAGGAAAAGACGGAGGTTAAACAGAATTAAATTAGTAAATTGCTGAGTGTATTGAGCATTCATGGGTTCGAATCTACAGACGGGCACACTGCATAAACGTATAAAAATTTAATTTCAAAACTTGATGTTTTTTTAAAAAATATTTACACGCCAAAAAGAACTGTATCACGAAATATAGGATTTGACAGAAATATCGTCCACATAGACCACCCTGAAAATGTGTATGTGTGATTCCCATTTAACGACCCCGTAATTACGACAGTTATAAAATCTCATCAAATAAGAATTAAAAACGGTTGTTATTGTATGTTGCGCGATCGACTGTTTCATCTTTCTTCACAATTAATCATTATCAAAATAAAGAAAATGAATAAATAAGGTGAAAAATAAACATGTAATTTTTGTGTATTTATAGTTCACAAACGGAAGCAATGTACAAAATATAGATCCAATTTTCGAATTTGTTTCTGAAATTTACTTTTCTGTACACGACTGTACTACATAAAAAAAAATTCATAAATAAATTAGAATTTTTACAAAATGGCGCCAAAGTGACATTAAAATCTGTATGAGACTGGTTGACACAAACGCACAACACGTGTAGCGTATGCCTGAAATAGTAATCAAGCAGGTCGTTGAACGGTGCCCGGTTGTCTATTAAGAGCGGATATATATATATATATATATATATATATATATATATATATATATATATATATTATATATACACACCGTATATATCGCGTATCATGCGACTTGAAGCTAATTTTAAATGAGTCGCATCATACGCGAGATATAAAATCAGCGTATGTACTGCTGGCCTTGACTACGCCATTGTTGACCAAACAATATATCCATTTATTTTGGTCAAATTTGCTTAAAAATTAGATTTTCAGGTGTTATATGATACGCGAGTATCTCTGTCTCTCTCTCTCTCTCTATATATATATATATATATATATACACACACACGGTGCGATGGATAAATTGTCCTCTAAATTACACAAAAACGAAAATAACACAAATATCTCATTTTTAACAGATGTTTTTACCAAAAATACACAAAAATATCTTGAAATACTAAAGAGTAAATTTATCCAATAAAATCGTCATTGGCTTCAACCACGCCCCCCCACCACCCCGCCACCAGACGACTTCAGAATCTCCTGCAACTTTTCTGTGTGATCTCTTTGTTTAAGTCTGTGCCATAACCCTTAGTTTTAGTTCATCTTTGGGGTTGTAAGGTGTTTTGTTGGTCTCTGGTTCAAATGTGCCCTACACATAATAATCAATGGGGTAGCAGTCTGGGGAGTTAGATGGCCAAATGTAAGGGGTGATGTGGTGGCAGAAATTGTTTGACAGCCATAACTGAGTTCTCTTGTTTGTATAACATAGCGCAGAGTCCTGTTGCCAGACATAGGGTCTTCCAGCAGCCACTATCTTGCCTCAGGACAGCACTGTCTTCTCAAGTCACATGATTTAGGGTTACGTGATGAGTCAGAGGCCCTGTGGGCAGATGAATAGAGACATAATGTCGTTATAACTATTGATCACTCAAAACCCCATGATGTTGACTGGATATATCATCCAACTCTTTTCGAATCCTCTGCACTGTCCTCAGATTGACATCCAAACACTGAAATATTCGTATTGGAGCTACCGGCGTGAATGCCAAACAGTACAGAATACCGTTTCCAAATTTCTGGCGGATTGACCTGCGTCATGGTGTTTTGTTTTTATTTTTATTTTTTTTACAGACTGTACCCAACTGACTTTATTATGCTGTGCAGTCGACAAAAAACTCAAACAACGCGCATGCGTGAAATTAAAATATAAAATGGCGATAATTTGCTCATCGCACCCTGTACATGAATGAAAGTATCAAATATGGAAATCAGTTGTCAATTAAGGTTTTGGTATTTAAATAATACCACCACTAGTTCGATCTTCATCGAGTCCTCCCGACTTGTGGTCGTTTTTTATACTAATGTTCACCAAATAACCACTTAAGGTAGACGGATGCTGTGAAGTGAAGTTCATGAGGTTATGTAGGAATGAGAACAGTTAACCCTAAGCTTGAAGCGGTCGAGAGTGTTTCGCGAAGCAGCAGTTCTTGTCCGGGGGAATTTAACTTAATTTAATTTAATTTAGTGGAATACAAAGTAGGTACGGATGATTCACCTCTGTGTAGGTGGCATGGCGGGTCCCAGTTGCAAATGCCAAGGCTGGTGGAAGACAATTATATGCCATGTGTGATACACGCTTAGGTGACCATGTATCTTTCAATACATGGCTGACGAGGCACATTTTTTCCCGTAGTAGGTTGCCATTTCTTTCTGCAGTAGACATCTCCCCTCCTGCTATTTACCAATACCTGGAGGGGAGAAGAAGATTAGCCCGTAAGTGAATGCAATGAATTCGACTGGAAATCGAACTCGGCTCTCCGATTCCTCAATCCGAGCCGCTATCCATTACTCCACCGTGGTGTTAAACACAATATTAGCTTATTACTAAGTAAATAACCGAATTACTTCATTCGGTAGAGGTTTTCATAAATAGTTTCTAATACCAATGCTTTAATCACCTGAGTAAATACCTTAAGTTTAAATACTCCTGATACAAATAACATTATGAGATAATGATGCCGATCAAAGCTTTTACCAATTCGGCGTTCCTATTTTTTGCAGAGTTCTTAAAAAACTAGTTCAGGTTTAGCTATTCGACCACAAAATGATATCAAAAGTTTTTCTTCTCTTAGAGGAAACAGTTCTAATGCGAAATCCAGCAGTGTCTTTTAATACTAATCTTTATTCGATAAGCGGAAAGCAGGAATGTCAAGGCTCCGTTGAACAAAAATGTTACCTTCAAAAACTGGAAAATTTCTTTAAAACTTTTAAAAAAAAAGTTCTTGAAAGACTAGCAGAACGCTACGTTTGCCACAAGGTCACATTTTTGAAGTACTCATTAAGGAACGAGCTCACTAACAACATCTGGATATAGAATCGTGATTAGACTTCTACAGATGGTCCAATACTTTCCAGTTCATTACAAGCTCCAATTCACATTTTGTTAAATGTGAATTCAGTCCAACAATGGAGATTTCACCCATTTCATATACAGGGTGATTGACAAGTAACTCCCTATTTTATGTATGATGAACTCTTCCGTCTTGTAAAAATTATAGTTAAACGGAAGAGTCCATCGTATATAAAATAGGGAGTTACTTGTCAATCACCATGTATATATACAGAATTGAGTTTTATAATCATGGTAATGCAGTTTCCCTTATTTCGTATCAATAATACTTTTCGAAAATATAAAACTGTTCTTTATTATACCCTAGCAATGATACCTGAAGGAGCGTGGGATAAGCAGTATTCTCTTGAACCCTTTAAGTCGAAGAGAAGTTGCGGGTAAAATTCTGTTTATTTTCACTTATATACAAAGATTATATTGAATCAGTTGTTAGGGTCTGCTGCTAAGTTGATTCACGGTGTCATGCGAGACAATTTTCTCACCAGAATTTATTTTACCCATTTATAAGTCTACCATTCGCTCATACATTGAATATTGCCGTTACATATTGCTTCTGTTACGTCTTTAGAGATTGCTAATACAAAAAAAACAAAAAAAAACAAAACAAAACAACAATCTGTAATGTTATTGGTCCTGATCTCGGTTTTAGACATTTTTCCACCGCTGTAATGAGACATCGTTGTGTCTTTTCTATAAATATTTTCATGGGAACATTCCTGATGAGATTTCCGCTTTTGTACCTGAAAATAACGAATTTAAGCGCAGCAGTAGGTTGTCAACTAAGTCTCATTTTACTGATGAAATTGGTAGATTTCGCCGTAAATTCTATGCTAACAATTTATTCTCTTGCTTGTAGAACTATTTTCCAACTTATTTGCTTTAAAGTCGACTTTGATCTTCAAAAGTTTCAATGAAATTCTAACCGTTATCTTTTAATCTTAATTCATGTTCTTTTTATTCTTCTCTAAGGTTTTTGCTTCTTTTTCTCAGATTCTATTTAAACTATTAAAATGATATTTCAAATCTTAGATGATAAAAAAAGGGACAAAAACAGGCGGATGAATGCTTAGAATCAGAAACAGTCATTTTGAATTCCTAGAGCACACTGTAAAGAAGGAGGCTTTCAAGAACTTGTTGATAATAAAGGAAAGAGAGACCTCACCTAATGAGCTTTGGTAAATTGTTTTACCATAAACAAGGACTGGAATGGATAGCAAAAAGACAAATCTTACTAACAATGGAAAATAGAAAGTTATGGAGGGCAATGATTGCCCAGGACCTGAAGAGACATGGTACATAAGAGATACTCCTTGAAGCATTCCAAGCACCATGACATCTAGTTTTCTTTATACCAAGTTGTTACCATTTCCATTTCTTTTCTCTTACAGAAGTATATATGTAAAAATAGCACTGTCTGGTTAGTTCGTTCAACTGACACAACCTAATGAATCCTGGAGTTGCCAATTAATCATTTAGACCGGAATCATGAATGAAGGATACCCCGTATTGTTAGAAAAGGTTTAAAATCCTTAAGTTATGTTTCAGTGGATATCCTCAATTGAGGATTTTAAATATCCAATGAAACATCAATTAATGATGCCTGTCGTTTTATTGTTAATTATATTGCAATTTTGTAAAGCAAGTTGGTAAAGTATTTTATCTCATGTTTTTGGTCCCGTAATACTCGTATGCAATCAAGCTGACCCGCAATAAAGCTCAAACTGAAAAATATAAATTTATTTGTGAGAATAGCAGAAAAGAAACCCCAGATTTTACATGGGGACTTAGACGATGTGTAATGGTTAACAAGTTTGTCTCGCTAGAACAATTACGACTGAACAGCGAATTCGATTCTCACTGTACTTTCGGTATTGTGCCACATCTAAGCTACGCTTAGAAAATCATTTGGCACCTTGAGGCGGTGTAATAGTTAGCAAGCTTGTCTCTTTAGAACTATTATGACTGAGTAGCGAGTTCGATCCTCACTGGGTGCTCCACACTTTCGGCCTTGTGCCACATCTAAGCTACGCTTAGAAAATAAATTTAATCACAATTTCTGTAGTTTTGGAGTAATAAATGTCGAGTTTAGATTTCACATTAAACTTCGCTGCGTCGTTTGAAATAATTTAAAATCAGTCGGATTTACACCGACTTCTTTAAGTAGCCCCCGTTTATGTTAAAAGAGAAACGTCAGTGACTGATATTTTGTATACTATACAAATGATGTTTTAAGCATTGCATAATGGATTTTCGTATAAAGAAAAAGCAAAGATCAGCACCTTTCCTGGATACGGAGGAGAAGCAGATGCATTAACCAAATGCGACAGAAGTTTATGGTGAGATTTTCATATAAGAAGAATCATTTCATACACCATAATTCTTTTAAATCTGTATTGTACATCCGTATGTTAAGAAAACTGGAAATGCTGAGAACAAATTTTCAATAAGTAGCAGTCAGCTTTGCGAATTAGAAGAACGTATTTTCGTTGCCATGATAACACCGAACTTCAAATTTGCAAAATTTATTGGCTTCTGCTCATCTTTTCAAATCTCTTACAAATGAACACTTTTACCCCATTTTCATCCTTTTTTTTTTTTTTACAAACAAAAATTCAAGTCATAATCAAACTGGAAACTTATTTAACCATTTTTTTGTCAATGGAACGGATGGTTCCTTGTGAATGTAGAATAAATGTTTAGTCTATGTACCGTATCACTTCAGGATGTGGAATGTCATGATTCTCCACAACTTCCTGTTCATTATAACTATTAGTAAGGTTTGTCTTTTTGCTATCTCTCCTAATCTCTTTTCTGTCAACCATTTCTACAAGCACGTGAGGTAAGTTATTGGCTGCTTTCTTCTGACCTTATTGCCTACAATATGTTATGTGAGTGTCAAATTCTCCAAGCCTTCTTTCTTCATTATGTGTCCTCGAAATTTCAACTGTCTTTCTGATTCTACGTCGAAGTGCCATTTTTGCTTAAAATTTACTTAAAACTTTGTCGTAGCTCCCATGTTCATTCAATATTATTCTCATCACCCTTCTGCGGAAATACATTTCTGTTTCCTCAAGTCTCTTCTTCATTTGTGAGGGGATGATTTTAAATGAATCGGCTTTCTAAAAGAAAAACAATTTTGCTACATTTTAACAACATTTTTATTTTTTTTTAATTCTGTCAGCATTGGTTTCCGTTTCAGTTTTTGCCGAAAAATATCTGAGCTGAATTAACAGTTAAGAGAGGCAATCAGGAAAAAAAAAAAAAAAGGCTGAAGAATTATAAACTCCATGTAGATTCGTCGGAATATGTTGTGGGGACAGAAAGAGTTTATCGACGAGAGATAATTTACACGACGTACCTCTGATAGCTCTCTGTTGGAGTTAATAAAAATTGGAAAAATAAAGATAAGAGACAAAAATAAAATGGAAAAAGAAAGTAAACGGAATCCGTTTTCGGCTGTTTCGCTTGATGTAGAGGAATGTCGAATTTTCTGCAATATGAACAGAAAGATTCAGCGTAGAGGAATCAACTGATACGCGTAAGAAAATCTGCGAATTGCGGTCGAGGGCAGCACTTGGGTAATATTAAAGGAACAGAGAACAAGAGGTCTAAAAGGCTAAAATGACACCAGATAAGCGAAGGTAGTAGGTAGATGAAGGTGGATTAGTACGGCGGGGTTGGGGATCGGATCCACAACACGGTTGGAGGCTGCCTGGAGGATTATCATTTTTTTTTTTTTTCCTAATAAAGAGGAATTTAATGGAAGTTGTAACATCGAGGAAGAGAGACGAATAAATAGATTTCACATCAATGGAAGAAAATTACGCGTAATGGAGAGAGAGTGAGAGAGAGAGAGAGTACATGTTCACAGAAGAGTCTGAGAAAGACATTGATAGTTCAGAATAAGCAAATCGAAATCAAGACAAGAAACTGGGACCGGGAAATAAAAGTGGGATCAAAGATATCAATAAAGTGGAATTTTTTTATGTATATTTATAGAAATACAGGGGGACTGGAAAGTAAATGTATGAAGAGTGAGAGACATGAACAGGTAGGGAGAGAGAGAGAGAGAGAAAGGTCGAGAAGTAAACGGTTAGAGAGAGACACACGGACTGGAAGAGAGAGAGAGAGAGAGAGAGTGAAATACACAGCCGGACTGGGAGAGAGAGAGAGAGAAATACACAGCCGGACTGGGAGAGAGAGAGAGAGAGAGAGAGAGAGAAATACACAGCCGGACTGGGAGAGAGAGAGAGAGAATAATTTCCTATAGTGTGTTCTTTGACTATACATTTTTACTAGTAAAAACGCTATCGTCACTCATGAAATGCACAGCTCATTGCTTGTGTTCATATTCATTGCTTGGTCTCCGTAAACATTGAGCAAAGGTCGATGAATGTTAATAGGTACAATTTTTTTTTCGTGGAAGAATTCGTACGCACTTGCATGTCAGACGTCATTTTGTCAGACTGCCGTTCAGTTGCTATCTGCAACAAGGCAACACACATGTTATTATCGAGAAGACTCAAGCTCTAATGCTGGCCCACAATTGTCAGCCATTGACATTCATGGCCAAGATTGAAGGAAATACTTTCTGAGTTTCACGTGTGTGTGCGCATGTATATATATATATATATATATATATATATATATATATATCTTTAATGAAGCGATAGATTGCAGTGTAAGTCTGGTTGGGTTAGAATAAGATAAAAATTGATAAAATTGTTTACTGTAGACATCTTGTTAGGTCAGTCGCTGAGTCATGACCTAATTCAGAATCCTGTTTTGTGGTTTTATATCCTAGTAAGCAAGATTTTGAGCGTGTTTAGAAAAAGACAGAAATAATATTTTTTTTATGGCTTAACTATTTACAGATTATTTAAAACCAGAAATATTTTTAGAATGTATGATATTTTTGGAGATAAGAATCGACTGTCAGAAGTATTACTAATTAACCCATATATGGAGGTAGTAAGAGGCGAATTCAAAACTTCCCCCAGGTGTGTTTACGTTTAAGTTAATATAACGAACCTGATTGAAACTGCTAGCTTACACGTCTAGATACTGGTTTTGCTCAACGTTAATTTCGGTGACAGTGCGGGAACCGGCGTTTCCCGTACTATCGCCGTAAACCGGACAGATATACGACGAACAGATTAAGAGAATTAAATTATTGTAAAGAGAATGAAAATTTATATTTCTTTCACTCGTTGCGGAAAGCCACTAATCATAACTTTCAAATTTCTTTTTAAACCCGTAATTAAAACATAATATTTAAATTAAAAAGTAGTGCAGATTTTTTTTTTCAATTATTGAAGTTAAAACTTATTGATAGTAATTTTGAACCGATTCTCTCAATCGGATATAACGACTGAATTTTTGTTGATTCTTTGTATATTACAGCTGTAGTAATCTAGTCAGCTTTTTCGCAGAAGTTCTGAAAAATAAGTTATTTTCTCGAAATTCACTTATTTCAGATAAAGATCGCATGTTGGATGTTGTGACGAACATTAAATTAAAGCACTCGATGTCAAATAACAGAGCTAAAAATTATACTCGACATTATATATTTGTCTTTAATCGCTGAGCAACATATGTACAGTGTGCGACAGAAATACGTCCAACATAATACTAAGACATGAATGGCAATATTGTCATCATCTGCCTGATGTCTTAACATTAGGTAGGAAGTTCATATATACTGTTTATTATAAACAGAGCATTTACTTAAATATTTTTTGTATATATAAATAACGTATAACAATAAAATATATTCAAATAATTGTCGGACTAATTCCATTTTGTAGTGTGTGAGGTCATTTGTTTACGTTAAGATACGCGTCGAGCAGATATGGACGTTAGAGGGAAATCATGGGATGTTGGTAGTTTAAAAGCAGCAAAATCGACCTTGCTAACCAGACGCTCTTTCGTAGGTATGCTGATATAGCACGTCAGGCTATATGACGGTTCCGTGTAGGATACAGGTTCGATTCCTGTTGGAGGACGCATATTTTCTATGCGATTTCTCGGTTGTTCAGTAAATGCTCGGTTTATATATACTGTTTATTATGAACAGAGCATTTACTTTAGATATTTGTATATATATAAATAACGTATAACAATTATATATATATATATATATATATATATATATATATATATATATATATATATATATATATATATGTATGTGTGTGTGTACGAGTGGATAACGACAAAAGGCAAACTTAGCTGACGCGTTTAATCCTCTGATGGATTAGGCAAATGATAGGATTTTCGGCTGCCTAAACAAATATTTATGAGCGTCTCTTAAATGTAAAAATTTTGAAAAACTAATAATATTTTTGTTCTTGTATATACATATCTTACAAAATAAAATCCTTATATTTGCCTTGATAAAGTCCGTCTGAGGACAAGATGCCTCAGTTAAGTTTTCCTTTTGTCCTTTTTTATTGTCCTTTTACAAATATACAATCTGAAATTATTTATGAGAGAGAAAGAAAAAAATCTATGTCTCTGAAATAAAAAAAAAGCATTTTTGTGGCAAAAATATATTTTATTTCAGACAGATACTAATATGCCCAGGTGAAATAATTTTACCAGATCTTATCAACAAACTAAGTAATAACATAATAATATATATATATATATATATATATATATATATATATATATATATTCAACATCATCACTTGATAAGACACCAGAAGTGTTGAAACAAAATGGCTATTTTGTAGTGATTTGTAACATATTTATGTTATAATTTTCGAATAAATTTTTTTATATATATATATATATATATATATACACACACACATAAGTATATGATTGGTGCACGGAATAAATTCAATAACCAACAATTACTATTCTTAAAAGAGTGCTCAATACAGAGTAGAGTTAGATATAATTATTTATTTAAAAATAACATAAATATGTTATAAAAGTGATTTTATAACATATTTATGTGTTATATTTTTTTAAATAAATATATATATATATATATATATATATATATATATATATATATATATATATATATATATGCCATTGGTTCCTTCTCTTTAAAGGTGATTCCAGATGATGGAATTAAGGGTTGGGGAATTAATAAAATTCTGGAGATCATCTTAATCTGTGTATGTATATCTCACACAAGTGCGTTTTCATACTATTTCCTCTTTATTTATGCAATTTTTGAGCATGTTGGTTGTGGGGAAAGAAACGAAGGAATATTTCTCGATTCCCAAAGGACGCGAAAAAGAATCCGAAATAAAAGAGTAGCAAAATAAAGAAATCCTTTCATATAATACGTATAATTAAAAAAGAAGAAAAAAAAAATAGAGGAAAGAGCCCTGAAAGAGTAGAGTGAATCGATGAGGCGACTGACATCTTGATCCGCTCAGCAGGTTGCATTACTACGCCAGGATGAGGACAGGCTATTTCAGCAGGCGCCTCGCTGTGATGTCGGTAAGGGCACAAAGCGAACCCTGAGTAAATGAGGCAGAAATTGAGAAGGCTGACTCAGCCAACATGGCCGACAAAAACAGCAGTAGCAGCCAGCTAGCAACATGTTCTAAAGCTCGCTTGTTGATTGGCGGGAAGAGAGGCTAAAATTGAGGAGGGATAAAAACAGATACAATAAGGTAGCAACAAAGAAGGTATAGAGATTAATTTATTGTGGGATCGATCTGGGCTCCTAGCAAACACTGTTTGTATTTTCGTTTTTTTTTTTTTTTATCGCCGATTGATAATGTAACGTTTATGAAGATTTATAAAGAACTTAATTCCCACTCTAATTTAATTTTGATGGGTTTCCATATTTGCGAGTTGACGTGTAAAAACGCAAGAAGTGTGAGGCACTCGGTGAGGAACAAACCCACTCAATGCTTCCCTTCGCGATATGGAATTTTTACATGACGTGGTTTGGCATATTTTCTTGTGGGTTTTGTGCCATAAATAGTTCAGACTCAAAGTGGGTAAGTAAATGTCAAAATAGAAAAATAATAATTTTTATTTCATGGGTAACTTTCACTGGATTTCGCAGTTAATCACGATTATTCCCAAATGTATCTAAAAGTTACAAAAATCGTTATCCCCCCTCCGCAAAAAAAACATCGCCGAAAAGAATGGCAGTAATGAAAACTTGGGAAGTCAGAATTTCAGGATTCAGGGTCTGGATCAGGCTCGGAATGTTTTTTAATTTACTCACGGAGTCGGCCTGATTCCAAATTGGTATGATATGTTGGGTTACGGCCTCTAAGAGTAAAGTTGAAAAAGTGTGACACACTGACATTTGCATTTATTTATATAGATATATTATATAGAGAGGATACATCAAAATACCTGCCACATAATTGTGAAGTCTTAACATTATGTTGGAGGGTATATGTGATGGTTCTCTCTGCCGCACCTATGATAGCGATTTCATTTTATTTCAAAGAAGCCGATGGTTAGTACCGGATATTATTTAGAAATCTATCTGTAGAAGATATTTTGAAGAAAGTTTCCTATTAATCTCGCGAGGTCTGAATAAATTTAGTATTACAATATCTATACAGGTTGTTTCTTTTCTGTTTCTTATCAGGTTATAACTGTGACTGCACATTAAATAAAGAAACATTCACTATTTGCTCGAAAAATAACGTTCGCTAACAGGAAGCCAGATCCTGTCACACACAGGCAGCCAGATCCTGTCACACACACACAGGCAGCCAGATCCTGTCACACACACACAGGCAGCCAGATCCCGTCTCTCTCTCACACACACACAGCCAGATCCTGTCACAATCGAAAGAACTATGGACGTGTGATGGTTATATAATGTTATATATCGAGAAATTGTTACACAACACACACACTATATATATATATATATATATATATATATATATATATATATATATATATATATATATATGTTATGTAACAGTGAGAGATCGTCTCGCAATCGAAATCGCTATTGTCGTGAAATCGATCTTCCCGATTGGCCCACCAACGCGGCCTTGTACCAAATTAAATTAATAATTAATTATGGGGTTCTTAATTTAATACAGTAATGGAAATGGAATATTTTTTTGCCATTACGTGTGTCAGTACAAAAATAGATTGCATCACTTTCTAAAAAAAAATCGATTTTAACTTTCTGGTGATCAAACGTTATTTTGTAAATCATATTATGCCGTGGTTTTGTTTTTGTATTTTTTTTCCATCAGATTATAAATTACATTTCACTAATACTTTTTTTCCCCTTAATTGACCTGAATTCTGATTTCCATCTATATACTTGTTTGCAGAGTTGGTGGCATTTAACGCTGAGGATACATCGGACAAAAGGTAGAAAAAAAATCTCTTGCTAGGGTCTATTTTACTTTATAGATTTGTGTTTATTTTAAACCGGATTTATTACATTTATTATTTTCTAAAATAACGTTTGAAGTGATCCAAAAAATTTGGATTAAAATATATTGTATATATAATTCATTAATTCTTTTATTACATTTCGGATACAAAACTGAGAAGATATATTTGCCGGTGGTGGGGAACTTGAATGCGTCTGACCTTTAAAAGACGAAATAGAACATTGCTTTACTGTGACACTCCTCGTAGCCAAAGGGAAAAGGGAGATGCGGTTTCGTATGCTGTCGGGGGGCACATTTTCTTATAATATCTCTGTCTATAAAAGGCAGGATGTGTGTGTGTGTGTGTGTGTGTAACGAATGCACGGCCGTAATTTTCGACGGATTTGCACCAAAATTTACATGCACATGCTCCAAGTCAGCGGGAAGGCCAAGACCGACTTTGCATTTCCCAACTTCCATCGATAGTGGAAATAATCGATTTTTTCATGCTTCTACGACAGTTTTCATGTAGTTTGCGGCCATTTTCTATTGGACAGAGTGAGAGCCAATAACTGGCTGCCACGAATAGGCAGGAAGATTCTATTGGCCAGCGTGAGAGCCAACAGCTGACCGACACAAATGTTAACTGGCATGCAAAAAAAAAAAATCGACAGCTGCATTCGTCACAAGTGGGAAAAATTTAAATCTGCATGGGACTTTACTCCAATTGGCTCATTCGCTTGCTTAAACTCAACGTTGATTCTGATTCCGTAGAACTGGGTTGGGTGTGAAAAAGTATTTGTTGTTAACATTCTTTATTCATTCGGTTTTTCCAGTTACGAGTCCTTTTCTAAAGCTGATCGTTTTGTGTTCATTTTGTTTAGTTTTTTTTGTAACAGATTTAATGTTTAGTATAGAGCTTAGAAAAAATTCGCAGTGTGAGATAGGCAAGAAGTAAGGCATGTAGCAATATCAGCACGGAAATATATGTGTGTGGGGGGTACATTGTAGATATGTTTCCTTTCTTTATTTTCAAACACAAACCTTGTCTCTTTAAGGACGAAAAGACAAATTGTCGATGATTGAACTGTCTATTTAAAAATTCTTAGATTTGTTTTCCACACTGCATCAAATAATAATAAAAAAAAGGTTGAGTAGGAAATCCCATCAATTCCCGAAACTGTTTATAACAGTGGACATGAGAAACCTATTTTCTACAAAAGAAAAAAAAAGTTTTAAAAGAAAAAAATTATATATTTCAACCGGCAGTAACGCTAAATGTTCGGTCAATGAATCCCGAATGTTTCCTTATCAGGAAAGGGCTAACCTCACCATGACCAGCTTGTAAGTTATATAGACTTTCAATTAATGTGTTACCAACAGGCAGTATTTAAATGAAGTAAAAGGTTTAAGTAAAAATATTCAGTGAAAGCATGTATTCCTATATTCTATGTGAAGTGTCCCTTCAGAACGTTTGCGATCATGGCTCTTCAGTTTCCAGTCATTTGTAGCTCTTAAGAAATTGCCATTTTTATTGTCTTCTAAAACTTGTTCCATCATCCATTTACTAAAACTCGCAATGACGAGAAGAAAGGAAAGAGAGAGAGAGAGAGAGAGAGAGAGAGCAAGAATTAAAAGAGAGAGAGAGAGAGAGCAAGAATTAAAAGAGAGAGAGAGCAAGAATAAAAAGGGAGAGAGAGAGAGATCAAGAGAAAGAATTAAGAGAGAGAGAGAGATCAAGAGAAAGAATTAAAAGAGAGAGAGAGAGAGAGAGAAAGAATTAAAAGAGAGAGAGAGAGAGAGAGAAAGAATTAAAAAGAGAGAGAGAGAGAGAAAAGAATTAAAAGAGAGAGAGAGAGAGAGAAAGAATTAAAAGAGAGAGAGAGAGAGAGCAAGAATTAAAAGAGAGAGAGAGAGAGAGCAAGAATTAAAAGAGAGAGAGAGAGAGATCAAGAATTAAAAGAGAGAGAGAGCAAGAATTAAAGAGAGAGAGAGAGCAAGAATTAAAAGAGAGAGAGAGAGCAAGAATTAAAAGAGAGAGAGAGAGAGAGCAAGAATTAAGAGAGAGAGAGAGATCAAGAGAAAGAATTAAAAGAGAGAGAGAGATCAAGAGCAAGAATTAAAAGAGAGAGAGAGAGATCAAGAGAAAGAATTAAAAGAGAGAGAGAGAGATCAAGAGAAAGAATTAAAAGAGAGAGAGAGAGACCAAGAGAAAGAATTAAAAGAGAGAGAGAGAGACCAAGAGAAAGAATTAAAAGAGAGAGAGAGATCAAGAATTAAAAGAGAGAGAGAGACCAAGAGAAAGAATTAAAAAAGAGAGAGAGAGAGATCAAGAAGAAAAAAAGAGAGAGATCAAAATTAAAAGAGAGAGAGAGACCAAGAGAAAGAATTAAAAGAGAGAGAGACCAAAGAAAGAATTAAAAGAGAGAGAGAGAGAGAGAGCAAGAATTAAAAGAGAGAGAGAGAGAGCAAGAATTAAAGAGAGAGAGAGATCAAGAGAAAGAATTAAAAAAAGAGAGAGAGATCAAGAGAAAGAATTAAAAGAGAGAGAGAGAGATCAAGAGAAAGAATTAAAAGAGAGAGAGAGAGATCAAGAGAAAGAATTAAAAAGAGAGAGAGAGATCAAGAGAAAGAATTAAAAGAGAGAGAGAGAGAGATCAAGAGAAAGAATTAAAAGAGAGAGAGAGATCAAGAGAAAGAATTAAAAGAGAGAGAGAGAGATCAAGAGAAAGAATTAAAAGAGAGAGAGAGATCCAAGAGAAAGAATTAAAAGAGAGAGAGAGACCAAGAGAAAGAATTAAAAAGAGAGAGAGACCAAGAGAAAGAATTAAAAGAGAGAGAGAGAGAGAAAAGAAAAAGAAGAGAGAGAGCAAGAATTAAAGAGAGAGAGAGAGAGAAAAGAATTAAAAGAGAGAGAGAGATCAAGAGCAAGAATTAAGAGAGAGAGAGATCAAGAGCAAGAATTGAGAGAGAGAGAGATCAAGAGAAAGAATTGAGAGAGAGAGAGATCAAGAGAAAGAATTAAGAGAGAGAGAGAGACCAAGAGAAAGAATTAAAAGAGAGAGAGAGAGACCAAGAGAAAGAATTAAAAGAGAGAGAGAGAGACCAAGAGAAAGAATTAAAAGAGAGAGAGAGAGACCAAGAGAAAGAATTAAAAGAGAGAGAGAGAGCAAGAATTGAGAGAGCGAGAGTGTGAAAGAATAAATCAAAATGGACTTTTGTTCAGATTATTTGGTGTGAATCGAGCAGAGACAAAATGTTCTGTATTCTTTCATAAGTTTTTTATGAATACCTGATTGCTAGAAAGTGCGAGATTTCATTTCTTATTTATATCGACGAAAACTCGATTATTCTGACACATGGTCCCAGGTGAACGTTACTAATTCATCTTTTTAAATTATTTCAAGTTTTATTCACATCGTCTGAAGAGGACAATATTTGAATAAACATACAAAGTTACATGGAGGTACTGGCTGGCGTAATGGTTATCGGCACGAAAAATGGAACTGGAATAAACAAGTTCGAAATTCAGCTAAGGTCCCTTATATTCACTTCACGCTAATGATCCTAAAGAAGGCAAGAATCCATTTTTCCTTGTACATCCTAACTGTCACGAGATGTATTCAGCAAAAGCTTTAGTCGCTGATATATCACAATAGGTAACGGAAAGGGGACTGTGAAATTTGGAATTTTTAAAAATTATGTCACAGGTCATAAGAAAAAGATAGCCTCGAACGAGAGAAAGTAGATATTGTAAAGTTATTAAATGATGGGAAAACAGAAAAGCTGGTATCATCAAGGCTTTTAGAGGAGACTGCGCGAAGATGGACTCCATTCGTAGAATCAATGCATCAATCGTATGGATTTAGAAAAAAAAACTTATCTAATGAAAATTTTTGGCTAATTCTGTGATGGGGGAAAACATTTTTTTTTTTTGTTTTTTGACAGAAGTATGTTTTGAGTAATAAAATATTCGTCATCAACAGAAGAAAAGGCAGTCAGCCTGATTCAACTATAACACCTGGGAGAGTTTTCAATAAATGGGCGTAGCAAAATTGTAAATGTTAAAGGGTACTATATATATATATATATATATATATATATATATATATATATATATATAAAAAAAAAAAAAACAATTGAGCAATGTATGAAGATCTTGTAGGAAAATATCAAGCAACTTGGCGAGAAACTTGGTCTTGGACAAGAGATCAACATACGCGCCGTCATCGAAGGTACAGTTCCCCCGTCTAATCTATATAATAGGATGGTTAATGAAATTTGAGGAATAAAAAGCTAACAAAATGATAACAATATTGACAATAAGATTGATATTTATTATATGGCTACATTAGCTTTCAAGTCGGAATTTTCGGACACGCCTGTGTACTTTTCAACGAGACGAGGAATAAACAAAGAGGTGCAGGCTCTTCCGAGCAATGATGTTGGTTAGAGGACTCTCTGTGGAAATTCTGAGAGTAAACTTCAATCCCTGAATGAATGATTTTATTTTGAAAATATTTCAACTCCGATCTGCGTCTTATCAGTTGTTGAATGCAAGCGCTTAAAGCACGCATCTCACGTCATCAATGCTATGGAAACGTTAGCTGAAGTAAAACCGACTTTCAAGTTTTACTTTTTGTGCTTCAGTTTAGTCAAAAGGCTAATATATAATATCAGTCTTATTGCCAGTATTATTTTGTTGGCTTTTTATTCCTTAAATTTTATTAACCAGCTTGTAAAATCTACATGTTTTCGTTTTAATCATATATAATTTTTAAACAATTACATTGGCCAAAATAGTTGATAATTGATTAGCTTAGAAGAAATTTAGCGAATCTCAAAAATCATCACAAACATTTAAAACGTTAAAAATTTAATAAAAGTAAAACAGACATGTAATTTTACATTGAAACAAGAATTTACCAAAAAGAATATACTAATTTTCCAAGCATAGCTCAGAGGTGATACAAGGCCGAAAGTATGGGGCACCCAATGAGGATCGAACTCACTACTTAGTTGTAATTATTCTAGCAAGACAAGCTTGGTAACCATTACACCACCTCGAGGTGCCCATCTACCAAAAAGAATATAAACGATATACGCCGCTTCATATAAATCAGCAAAACATCTTAAGATTTAAACAAGATAAAAAAAGGGAATTTGAAAACATTGATTGCACTTTTGGGTCACCAGAGATTTTATTTTCAACTGGAATTTTCAGCTTTAATAAAAATGACTGAGTTTTCATTGAAAATTAGGAAGTCTAGGAATTCCCTATAATTATTATACGACCGGATTCTTTGTTTATTACTCGTTCTTTAGAATTTTACTAAAACGAAAAATAGAAGCGGAGTTGAAATTTGTTAAGGCCTAATTTCTCTAACAGATAAAGTTTAAAATCAAGTTTCAGTCGGATTTTCTGCTATAAGGATTTATAATTTACATGCGACCTGTTGTCCTCATTTTTGTTGCCGTTATCACAAAGTTTCGGCCGTTGCGCCTCCTGGTTTCATCAATTGCTAGTCAATTCGGGTAACTTTATTTTTTTTTTTTAATCATTTCGCCACAAGCAAGACAGTAAAGTCACTAAGACGAAGAAATAACTTAGTGTGAAAGAAAGAGAAAGATAAAATCTTTATTAAGGAGAGAGAATAATAAATGAACAAGAATTAAGAAGACCGAAGAATTCGACTGATATAGATCTTCAAAAATTTAAATACAAAATTAACTGGAAATAAACCCATTATTTAATTAAAATTTCATTCGCTTAAGTGAATCATATTTTTTTCTTTAATGTAAATTTTGTTCTTGTCCAAATAGAAGTTTTCAAAATGGTCTCATACATATATGTCTGGGCTGACACACAAGACCGTGTCGAAAACGAATTTCTTTGACAAAACGATACCTCCCCAAAAATTCCAATTTAATCTTGATTACTGATAAAGAGAGTGATTAATTTTGGGTGTGACTTCAGTTTACACAGCATAAAAAGTGTAATAATTTCTTGAATAGGTCCAACATTAATTCTTACACTTATTTGTTAAATTGCGCTATTATCAGAGGAAACAAAATATTTTTTCAAGATTTGTAAGGGTAGAAATAAATTTTTAAGTTTAGATAATTTGAGAAGAGATATAAAGGGAGAGAGGTGTGTAGAGAGAGAGATGGAGAGAGAGAGATGAGATAAGAGCTGTGTAGAGAGAGAGAGAGAGAGATGAGATAAGAGCTGTGTAGAGAGAGAGAGAGAGAATGAGAGAGAGAGGTGTGATAAGAGAGAGAGAGAGAGAGATGAGATAAGAGGTGGGGTAGAGAGAGAGAGAGAGATGGTAGAGAGAAGAGGATAAGAGCTGTAGAGAGAGAGAGATGAGATAGAGATAAGAGCTGGGGTAGAGAGAGAGAGAGATGTAGAGAGAGAGGTAAGAGTGTAGAGAGAGATAAGATAAGAGATAAGAGTAGAGAGAGAGAGAGATAAGAGCTGTAAGAGAGAGAGAGAGAGATAAGAGAGAGAGAGAGATGAGATAAGAGTGCAGAGAGAGAGAGATGAGAAGAGCTGTAGGGAGAGAGAGAGATGATAAGAGCTGTGGGGAGAGAGAGAGAGAGAGATGAGATAAGAGGTGTAGATAGAGAGAGATGAGAGATGAGAGAAGAGCTGTGAGAGACATATAGAGAGGGAGAGAGAGATAGATAAGAGGGGAGAGAGAGAGATAAGAGGGGAGAGAGAGAGATAAGAGGGGAGAGAGAGAAGAGGGGAGAGAGAGAGAGAGATATATAAGAGGGGGAGAGAGATAGATAAGAGGGAGAGAGAGATAGATAAGAGGGGGAGAGAGATAGATAAGAGGGGGAGAGAGATAGATAAGAGGGGGAGAGAGATAGATAAGAGGGGGAGAGAGATAGAAGTGGGACAGAGAGATAAAGAAAGAAGGGGGGAGATATATAGAATGGAGGGGAGAGAAAAAGGGTGAGAGAGAGAGAGGAAAAAGGGAAAGAGAGCGATAAAGATACCATTATCAAAATTCTTAGACCTGCTATATCGTGTGTCTGTATGTATATATGCATGTATATATAACACTTTACTAAGTTTATCTGAGTTTTGTCACAAGGTCAAAATTAGAGGCTACCCAGTGAGGATCAAACTCAATATTCAATAAGAAGGTTCAAACAAACTAATTTAGTAACCAGGACATCGTCGAGAATAACTTATGACCAAAAAAAAAAAAGGTAAAAATAAGAAAATCCGTCACTTTATTTAAAAACAATTAGTTGACATGAAGTAAATAATTTACGCCTACAAGTAAAAGATATGTAACAGTATATCACACATTTAAGCAACGATGGGTGTTAATACACAAAAATCAATAAACACACAATTGTAATAACCTATATCGATGAGATGATTCAAGGATCGGATCGAAAGGAAGGGACACCCCAGAGGAAAATAATTGTAACAACATTGAATCAATATATTCAGTGAAGAAAAATAAATTATGTATAGTTTACCGTATAGTTAAGAATATTCTAGCATTTCAGATTTTTTTCTTTTTTTTTTCTAGAGATCTGAACGACATGTGGATAAAATCATTTTTTTTCCTTTCCGTATCTGTCTTGCCGCCATGATTCTTTACCGTTCTAGAATATTCATATACACTGGAGAGGAGTCCAATTTTGAACAGCCGGGTGCTGTCTTTACTCAACTGATTATTTTTAATGGTGTTTATAATTTAAAGGCCGCCATTTTAACACTTGAGTTCTGGCAAGTGTCTGTCAAGATCTGTTCATTTTACTTCGTGTCAAAACCAGAGCCGAAGGCTTGTTACTGTTGAGAAGTATTTGTATTTCACGCGCAACGAAGAACAACTCAGAGAGCCGACATCTTGCCTTCTTTCTCACTCGCCTTTCTACTATCAATTCGTTTACTTACATCCAGTCTTATCAAGGTTTTTTTTTCACAATCTATATGGCTTCACCAAACTGATACATGTCTGGCATAAGGTATTTAGTAAAGATCGAACTCCAAACAGAATACCTGACTCCTTTCAACATGCTTTACGTTAACAAAAGTCAGATTAAACCCCAAATGGAGTCTGACTGCCATGTCTGGGATAGAGCTACAGAGTTTCATTCTTTCCAGCCTTGAGAGAGTTCAAAACCAATGACGTTGTCTTGTATGGGATCATTTTTTTCTTTTAAGTATTCATCCTCTTTCTGTACGGAATGTAGCGTTGGAAATGTTTAGATAAGAGTCAGTCTTTTGTTTCACCAGATCAGAAATTTACATTTATGATAAAGCCGCTAAGACATAAGGGGTTACTGACAGTGAAAGGAAATGAGGAAACACACATATATATATATATATATATATATATATATATATATATATATATATATATATAAGTTACGAAGAACTTGGTAAACCGAATGGGTAATTCCAAGGAGGATGAAATCGTGAGAGCTCAATGTGAATACAGAGCTAATATTTAATGAAAAACAGACAACTTTAAAGGTACCATTACAATAATTTATTTCACCAAAATCCTTTTTAAAGGACTCCGGATCATCAGGTAACAATTGTTACCTGATGATCCGGAGTCCTTTAAAAGTATTTGATGAAATAAATTATTGTAATGATACCTTAAAGTGGTCTGTTTATTTATATATATATATATATATATATATATATATATATATATATTCTCGCTTGAAGCAATCGGGTGTCTAAACACACTGATGAGCTGTGATACAGCAAAAGAGGCTTTATGTGGATGACTAATATATAATATAAATACAAATAACTAT